TACTTGTCATTTCCAGAGGGGCAGAGAGCTGACACTGGACTTGTGGTGCAGAGGGAGCCTTGGGGTGGGCTGGGCATGGCTGGATCTCAGGTGGGCAAGGCTGCCTGGGAGGGGCCTGGAGGCATAGCACCTCAGCCCTCAGGGACACCCCAAGTAGATTGAGGAGGGCTTGCCTGGCTTGTGCAAAACCAGGATGTACCCAGAACTGGGACCTGGTCCTGAAGTGACAGGATCCAGGTATGTTCTCTTGTGTCCTGTCCACACTCATCTGAGAATCCCTGTGTGTCTGTTTTCTGTTGCTAGTGGGTCTCTCCCATGTCACACCCACAGGGGAGTCCTGTTTGAGACCAGATGGAGGAATGATTCCCCCTCAATTGTGAGCCTGTAGTTGGCAGGAATTGTGTCCTATATATCTCTGTCTCTGCAGTGGCCGATGCATGCCGAGTCTTCCTTAAATGCAAGTTGGTTGCTGAAACCAAGTGTTGAGTTAATAAAAGATGCTTTCTCGAGGTCATTGGGTGTCTTGTGGTTGGGGGGATTCTCCCCAGCTATGGCAGAGACTCTGCAAGACTCTTTCTTCCTGTGTATTTTTCTCTCTTTTTGTAATTGCTCCCTTCTCTAAACTCCAGTTGCATTCATTGTCTGCATCATCTATGTGTTCCGATTTTTCTCTTTTTATCAGTATTTCCTGTCTTTGCAGCTAAATCACACCTTTCCTTGATGGCAGGAGCTGTGTGTTGTGNTGCTCCCTTCTCTAAACTCCAGTTGCATTCATTGTCTGCATCATCTATGTGTTCCGATTTTTCTCTTTTTATCAGTATTTCTTGTCTTTGCAGCTAAATCACACCTTTCCTTGATGGCAGGAGCTGTGTGTTGTGCTTATTGGGGTCTCCACTATCTATTACATGCTACTCGATGTGTGCTTTTGGTTGGGGAGGTTGGTCCCCTTGATATTAGTAACCTGCTGCTGAATTTGAAGCTAATGTGTCAGCCTTCACGTAGTGGCATTCCACTGGCCAGCTGCTGTAGATATCTGCCTGGCATAGGTGGGTATTTGGGGAGCCAGAATTTTGAAAGAGCTCAGAGTTCATTGATGTGAAATGAATTAAAGGAAGAAACTATGGTCAAAGCCTTTTAATGTCTGTACCCCCAGGCATGGCAATCTCTACCCCACATCCCCACTGAGACCAGCACCAGAGGAAGCTGTGACTTTGAGAACTCAACTGAACTGTCTCTGTCTCCTCGTGTAGCTCATAAATCAAAGGGCCTATGAAAGTAAGCCAGCTCCCTTTGCAATCGTGCGCACCTGTTCGGTGAACCTCATTGTGTGATCTCTTCCTTGTTTAGGGCTCTGGCTGACATCTTAAGACAACAGGGACCAATCCCCATAGCACACTGTGAAAGAGAAACTATCTCGGCTATCGATACCTCTCCCAAAGAGAACACGCCGGTCAGATCATCCTCTAAAAACCACTACACCCCTGTGCGTACGGCCAAGCAGACTCCAGGTAAGTGAGAGCTGATCACCTTGAATCTTTGCTGAGGCTGGTGAGAGGTTTCACTGATGTTTCTGCTCTGGTGGGGCAGGTCATGGAGCACTGTGCCTTAAGGGACTATCTGATGGATAGGTAGGCTTGAGAAAGCATTTGGGGACTGTCCCTCAGGGGTGGGTTCGGAATGGGAGAGACTGCTGCCAGTCAGTGTCTGGGCTGGATAAGGGTTGACAACTGCAGGCATCTGTGATTTAGTGAGTAGCTGGTATAATTCTCTTGCCTGAAAGGGAGCTTGCAGCAGCCATGGTGGCATCTGGTGACTGATTCACCCATGTGGTGGGAAGGTTTGGGCTGCCTAGGATGCTAGAAATTACTGCACCCAGGTGTAGAGCCTGCTCCACTATTGGAATCTCAAAGAGCACTTCCTGAGGGTAGGAATTATACCTGTACTTTAGGGTGTCCCTTTCCTGTGCTCTATAGATTCTCTGGATATATGATGAGTTGCCATATAATGATATGCCTTCTACTTTTTTATTTGACCATCATTATAACACTCTAAAGGACACTGGGCAGGGTTTATTTTCCTTGTTTTACGGATCAATACATGAAGCTCAAGGAAATTTAGTAACTTGAACAAGGTCACTAAGATGTTAGTAATAATAAAAACATTAGTAATAATGTAATGTAACCTAAATATTTATGGGGATCTTGCTCGGTGCCAAGCTTCATGCTGAGCATTT